CCCCAAAACCCCAAAACCCCAAAACCCCAGACTCAGTTTTTTTAATTGAAAATCTAGAAAATGAAGCTTGTAGTAATATAAAATGCTCCTGAAACTAAATGACTTACCATTTCCCCTGAATTCAAGCTAGCATGATTCCCATAACCTGTCAAAGACTATTAATTCTACCCATCAAGATCTCTTTCTCATGCTCATTATCTAACAACTTCCCAAAATTCTGCCTAAACTTATCCGGATGATACCTCCTCAAGGCTTCCTTTACTCACTTCCTCCACTGCTCCTTCGTATTTCTCACCTGAACTCCCTCCCCTTTCCGTTCCAAAATCCGCCTCATATGAAGAATAAAGGTAGTATTGTTAGGAGGGAAGGGAATTTGGGAGGCAGTGAGGGTACTGGGAGAGGGGGTTTTGGAGAAAGATAGCCAGTGAGCTTCGTAGGTATCCCAGAGATTTAGTTCTGAGCAGGTAAGGAAGGATTTGTAATCAGAGTTTAGCTCGGAGATTGAGTAGGTCTGTTTAGAAAGTGTGTCCTGATTTCCAAATTTTGGAACGCTTTTGGAGTAATTTTTCTGGGCTTGTTCAGCTTTTCCTTGTTCATTCAAATCTGTAGGCTTGTAAAACTTCTGGTACCCCGTCTGATAGAAATAGCCAAATCCTTTACGTGAGGCCTCACTTGTGTTGAGCCCCTTTCTTGCTACTTTTATGAAGTTATTTTTAAACGGATCCTTGGAATGGTTTTTCTCTTTAGAAGGTTTTGGAAAGAAAGTGTTCCTCAGATTTACCTTCTTTGATTCCTTACAATCAGAGGGACTTTGAGGTTGAGTACTTGGTACCTGAGATCGTTTGCTAGTATATCCAGTTCTAGATGACCTCTGAGTCTGAATCTTCCTCACAAGGTTTCTCTTCTTTTCGAAAGAATCTCTAATCGGTTCCTTTTGTGTAGTTTCTTGCTCGGATGGGGTTTCTCGTAGAATATCTTCATCAGCAAATCAGGTTATATTCTTAGTAGTCTTAAAGCAACTTGGCTCTTTATGTATGAGGGTTTCTGTTTTGGACAAATCTATAGTTACATCCTTCTTATTTTTTTTGGCATTTTTAGTCCAGACTCCTTTATTGTTAAAACCTATGTTTTCATATTGAACAAATTCTGTAAACTTGTGCTCCTTTGCCACTCTCCTCATCTCTTTGCGAAGAGAGGGCGGTAAGGAATTTTTGATATTGCTTTGAGGAATTTTTACTTTTTGTTGCTTTAGTGCTGCGTTGGAAGGAGGACTCTGGATTTTTCTTAACATAGTCTTTGGGTTATATCTGATAGTTTTGTGGAGTGTAGGGCTTATGTAGGTAGGATCGGTCATTTTGGATAAAAAGTCAGCAGCTTTGGTTTTGCGGATGTTTCTATTTTATAGGGATTATCTTATACCCCCGCCTGCTTTCACAAGAAACGTTACTTGTTTTACAATGAAATATTTTAGTAGATGAGGCTTTGGTCTTAGGGAGTTTGTGGATAAACTTCCATCCTAAATCTGGATTATTACTTCCCGGTACTGGCAAACTTCCTCTTCAATTCTTAAAACGTGTAGGAAGATTTCTTGATAGCAGCTTCTGAGAAGAAGTTCTTCCCTTTCGCATTCCTTCTTGGCTTTCAGTATGATTCTTAAACCCGAATTGCATTTTTATTTCAATTCTAAAATTTTAATTCAACCCAACTATTTCTCAAGGGGTTTTGGGGTTTTGGGGTTTTGGGGTTTTGGGGTTTTGGGGTTTTGGGG